GTTCCAAACCCTTTCATTAAGGCCGGCCCTCGGGATCGTGTTGGGCCATGCCTGCGCGATGGGGGAGTCGCGCAGGGCCAGCAGTTCCCTCCTAGAATACAGTCCCAAGTCTTAGAAGGAGGTCCAACAGCAGAGTTGGGAAGGGGGAAAGTCCTCGTGGTGGTGGTCAAGGGGTTAGGTAGATTGGAAGAAGGTAGCGAATATAGTTTTGTTATTCTGCTGCAGATGTTTATGCTAGTAATATGGAACAGGTCAGTTGCTTGAAATGTGAATTAAATCAAAGTTTCAAGCATGCCTAACTAGGAAGAAGTTTAAGAAGACTTACTTGGCTTCTAGAGCTAGAGCAAAAATCCCTGCAGCTAAAGGAGCAGAAGCAGAGGTCCCCGTGTGAGTGGCTGTACATTCATTGTGTAGATCCGCACTTATCTGAAGGACATAAACATCATATAAAGGTTAAGCATGGCCATGCACAAAAGCATTCTTCTCCATCATTGCCTTGGAACATGTTGTTCTCTTCCAGATAAAATAAGAGTTGAAAACCTTCCCCGTCTATTTTGCCTACAATTTTTAATTGAAATAGCTCATTTTGAATGAACATAATGCTATGTCAAAGGCACTCATCTTATTATGAAATCCTAGTAAGATAAAAATAAATGTTTCAGAATGACTGTTGAATCATAAAATGCATCACTGTAAAATGATTGCCAGATTAAAAGTCACATAGGAGCTAATAGCCAATACTTTTCTTTCCCTTCTTCTCAGTCTAACAATGCACAGCACTGTAATTTGGAAAATGAAACAGATGGTTTATTAGAAAATGAAGTGCTCTGCTTGGAAAAAGTGCTTCACATTACTGCCTGCAAAATTTCAATATGTGGAAGTACAATATTGAAATGTGTACACGTATGTATGTGAATGTACAATAATAGAATCTGTAGACCTTAGATGAAAAATTTTGGAGTTTTTAATCAATCATACTCGTTATTTTTATCCTTTCTTCTCTATTTTTCAACAAAACACTAGAATTTATTGGAAAGAGGTTATATCCACTTTCATTTTTCATATATCTTGACCCCAAGAGATCAGATGAAGGGTCAATTGTATTGATACTTTCTGTATCATTATCTCCCTTGCCCTTTCATGAATCCAGGCAATCGTTTTGCATTTCCCAAAGGTACATGACACTGCCATTTGAGGAAATGAAGCATCCATTTTGAACAGTGGACCATGGTTAGATGATGAATTGGGGACAAATCCCTACCTTCTACTCAATCTCTTGACTATTGCTCACAGAAGCTGCTTCATTGCTTTGCTGGCACATAGGTCTTTAGAGAAGCTTGCCACTCTAGCCAATTACTCCATGGATGGTGATCAGAGAAGTCCATCAGAGCAATGGTGGGAGTTTCTGTCTATACAAATGGCTGATACAACCATTTATTGCCTGGATGACTGCTTTCTATGTGTTGCTCATAGAATGACCAAGATGGCTGTTCAGAAAGTGAATAACAGTGTTGCTGTTAGGGAAACTGTGGTTGCATGAGAAGTGAGCGTGATGGAGTCTGATGTTGCCCAAGTAATATGTCTTTCTATTCTGTGCAGCAAGTCTCTCTGGGGTTGCTCCTCCACTCAGAAGTAATCAATGGACATCAGTTACATTTCACCAAGAGTAATGAATCCAGTTTATACAGTGGCCACAGTACAATCAATTTAATAGAAGGTTTACAGGATGTTAAAACTGTTTAAACTCACATAATTACTTCTTAAAAATAGGTAACACTGTTATTCTGTATTTTCCTATTTGAATTAAATAGGTTTGCACTAACTCCTCCTTTGATTACTATTATAGGTGAGGTTGTACATCACATAATTGAACATATCCACAATAATCTATTAGTTGGAGACGTTTCCTGCTATTAATATTGAAATAAACTTCCTAATTTTTAATCTTGACAGTGAAAGCAAATTCAGCTCAGGTTTTTCTTTTCTCCAGAGAGCTACAATCCTTTGAATATTAGCTTTGAAGATTTCCTTTATATAGAAGTTGCATTATTTTTGCAGGCAAGAAATATGGAATCCCATTTGAACAAAAGGTGATTGTATGTTATTTCAGCAATATGTTTGTGGTGTGCTTTTGATGGCTTTTTCTTGAAATATTTACAAACTGAATTTATCTTTTAAAATTCCTGCAGCTCTCCTCCCAAAATACCTCCCAATGTCACCAATCACCAACCACATTTTTCCCAGAAGCTTACTTAAAAAATAAATTTTAATCCTGAATAAAAATGCTCACCATATCTGAATTATGATTGTTTGAGCATTAAGACTAGTTTCTCTGAGTTTACCATCTCTGCTTTCCAAATTGCTTTGTGGCTGCCCCCCCCCCCCCAATGTTGGTTAAATCTGGTAAAAACAACCTACAATTTTTTGGTCAGAATAGTCCCCACTGCTGTATGCTGTGGCCAGTGTTGAGGAACACTTCTCTGCATACCAAGGAGAATGGCCTTGCTGTGAAGCACTGCTGATGGAGATTGTGTAGATGCTGTCTGTGTAACCATCACAGTCACAGTTATCTCCTTGACGGCCACCGTTTCCTGAAGCCCAGACAAAAAGGGAACCTTTCCCTTTTCTTCCCTAAAGGAAATTAAAGGAAAGAGATGATTATTGTGAGTAAAGATGTGTGCACTTTCCCCCAGATGTAATTTTTATGCTCATTTTGTCACTAAGCCTTAATGTGAGAATCAGAGTAAGGATGCTCCTTTATTTTGTTTGACAGATCCATATCTTTAATTGGTTTAAAGGTAAGCAGTAGATCTACATATCATAGAATGTTTTTAAATGATCTGAAGGGAATGATCCGGCCATAGAACAATGTAAGCAAGGACATTTTCCCTGCATGAATAAAAGCTTAATTTATCTAAAGAGATCCTAAGATAAGGTCTAATGATAAAAATAAGATAATGGATTGAAATGTTTGAAGGGCTAACATCTAAGTCAGAAAGCTGAGGGTACAAAGGAAATGAGGACACAGTAAGCAGCTCACACAGAGTTTGGGATGAAAACAATAATCAGTGGACAGAAACAACAAAACGATCCTTTCTCAGGTCTTTGGCTGTCCTGATGGTTCTGTCTGAGAGAATTGTTGCTGGATAGGAAATACATTTTAATAGGGAAAGCAGGAACATTATAATCTATTGGTGCAAAAGTCCACAAGAACGGGATAGAATTTCTCATAGAATGAAATGTTGGCCAGTCTCTAAGCTGGTAAAGATAAAAATAGACATTGCACACTCCAAAATGTAGAAGGCCTCTTGTGGGGTTCAAACTAATTCATATCCAACAAAAAATTAAGGGTGGTCTATTTCAGATGTCCAAACATTTTTTTCTAAGTGAAGACTGAGGGTTCACTGTTTGGGGTAAAATTCACTGCATTGACAAAAGTTTGTTTTTATCTGAGATTTCCCCCTTTCTAATACTTGGCATGCAAATGTTATTATGGGGAAAATAATTCATGATCCATGATATCATACTTATTGTTTGCAATAAGCCAAATCATTTTCACTCTTTAAAATACAATACATTAGAAGTTAAAGTGCTATTATTTTCCTAGCAATGATGTGTTGATGTCTACACAATCTTGGAAACATAGCTACAGTATATTCCCTAAGGAATCAGAGGAATTACGGAACTAATAAACAATAGCTGCACATTTCTCGCATTACAAATTAATATTCTGGGAAATACTAATATATATTTCATACAGTGCATATATTCCATCACAATCATTTAATAAAGCACTGAATAATTAAATGGAGTGTACACTATTTGTTGATAATTTCTTTTAAAAGGACTATTCTTAGCCTTAATGTATAGACCTCAGACATCCACAACTTTGCCCAAATCCAGCTCAGACTTTGACTGCAGTACTTATTCAATTCAAGGCCATTTGCTGCATTGAATATAAAATATATTAACCAATGATTTTCCAACTAAAAGAAAAGAAAAGAGAGGTAAGCAATATTGCTCAGAGAGAAGACAAATGATTCTAGCACATCTTTGTATTGCAACAGAAATAGTGATAATGCATTATCTATGTGACTAGCAAGAATCAGTACAAGTGCACTAGCATCTTAAGACTTGGTGCTTGGCATGTCCATTTCACAGAATGAAGTAGTAAAGCCTTTGACTCTGTATTTTCCTGTTGTTTCATAACTCTTGGTTCTCCAATAATTAACAGTAATTAATGTGTAGCTCTTAATGGAACTGTATCTACATGGAGGGAAGTAGGCAGTGAAGTATTCCAAGGCTCTCTTTTAGGCCCAGGACTCTTCAATATCTTCATCAATGATTTAGATGAGGGGAACTCACCAAGCTAGCAGGAATAGCCAACACTCCAGAAGATAGGTTCAAGATACAGAAAGATCTTGACAGACCTAACTAACAAAATGAAATTCAATGGTGAAAAAAGTAAGGTGCTACTTTTAGGCAAGAAAAACCAAATGCACAGGTATAGTATAAGTGGCACCTGGCTCAATAGTAGCAACTGTGAGAGGGATTTTGGATTCCTAGTAAACAATCACATAAATATAAGCCAGCAGTGTGCTGCAGCTGCCAAAAAAGGCAATGCAGTCCTAGGCTACATTAACAGAAGTATAAAATGAAGTGTTAGTCCATTTATAAGGCCTTGGTAGGAACACACTTGGAATATTGCATCTAGTTTTAGTCACCACAATATAAAAAAGATGTTGAGACCAGTGGTGGGACTCAAATATGTGAACAACTGGTTCTCTGTGTGGAAGTCCATTCTGGGCCTGGGCAACAAAAAATTAGCTACCGGTTCTGCCAAACTGATGCAAGCCAGCTGAATCCCACCACTGGCTGAGACTCTAAAAGGATGATTAGGGGCCTGAAGGATATGAACAACAGTTGCAGGAATTGGGTATGTCTAGTTTAATGAAAAGAAGGACTAGGGAGTGATATGATAGCAGTGTTCCAATATCTAAGGAGCTGCCACAAAGAAGAAGGTGGTCAACCTATTCTCCAAAGCACCGGAAGGCAGGACAAAAAGCAATGGATGGAAACGAATGAAGGAGAGAACGAACCTAGAACCATGGAAAAATTTTCTGATATTTAGAACAATTAATCAGTGGAACAATTTGTCTGCAGAAGTTGTGAGTGCTCCAACACTGGAAACTTTAAGAAGAGATTGGAGAACCATTTGTCTGAGATGGTATAAGGTTTCCTGCATGAGCAGAGGGTTGGGCTAGAAGACCTCCAATTGGTCTATTCCAATTCTGTTATTCTGTTATTTTGTTAACATCAGAAATTAATTGTTCCTGCTCATCACTAGCTGCCTTTCTGAGTGATGAGCTATAAACAAAATCACACACATATATACCCCGCAAGATTATACAAAAAGAAAAGGCCATCTAAAAATTAAAAAATACTGTAGAGCTGGAGCTAGGAAACTATTAACATTTTAGTAGGAAGTTTCTACTTTAAAAAAAAAGATTAATGAAAGTATATTCACTGTAAAAAGTGTCTCATTTATTAACATGCTTGAGTGAATTTTTAAAGAGATAGTTCATATATAACGAATATAGCAGTGATAATAAAAGAACCCTTTTCTTGAATTGTTCATGTAGAAAATGTTAATAACTCTCATTAGGAAAATATGACTCTTTATTTGCCTTACTTCGGAAAATGTATAATCTCTGTCAAACTTAGCTGTGCTGGAAGAAAAGCAAGGATGAAGAATTGTCCTCTGTATAGTTTGTGGTAAAAGTCCAAGACACTGACCTTCAGACTTTCTCTCAAACCTCTCTCTTGATTTCATAGGGAAAATTTAAAATTCAGAAATGAATCAGGACAGTTGTGTCCGCAGTGATGGAGCAAGGGGCTCAAAATGATGAAGAACCCATTGTGTTGTCACAGTGCAAGTCCTTCCATTTCATATGTGCGTCATCATGTTACCAGGGAATATAAAAAGGGTAGAGTTTTTGGCATGCTGGTGTGTCATTTTGATGTCCCATGGTATTCCTCAAGTGTATGAAGGTTTTGTTTTGCTTTAAAAAAAAAAGCTTCTTCAAAAATTAGGAATGAACAGACTGAGAAAAAGAGAAGTAAGAAAATGATTTTCTCCAAAGACTGAAAGGAAATAAAAAAGAGAACAAGGGAAAACAGCAAAGGAAAGAAGAGAATGACAGCAAAAGAGAAATAAGACGCAGAAGAAAGAAAAAAGGGTGATGCAAAAAGATAGGCTAAGTTTGCATAGCTTATTAAACCTTAAGCCCAAATTAAGTATACAATTGCTGGATTTTAATATGCTAAAGGTAAAGGTAAATCTTTCCCCTGTCCAGTCATGTCCAACTCTAGGAAGTGGTGCTCATCTCCGTTTTTTAGCCAAGGGACTCAGCGTTGTCTGAAGACTTTTCTGTGATCATGTGGCCAGCATGACTATACGCCAATGCTTTTACCTTCCCACCAAAGTGATACCTATTTATCTACTCGCGTTTGTATGCTTTCAAACAGATGGGTGGGCAGGAGCTGAGGCAAGTAATGGGAGCTCACCCCATAGAACAGTCCTTGGGTCTTGAACCCAGACTGTCAGTTTTCCAGCTGAAAAGCTCAGCATCTTTAACTGCTGAGCCATTGCTCCCCCATTTTAATGCTATGCTTAAATTAAAAACATAGGGTTATTTTGACAGCAATGATAGTTTGGTTCATGCAACATGCTAAACAGCAGTAGTGCTAATCAGCACCTGTAATAACAGAATAGAACCACAACCACCCCAAATTATAATAGTTTAGTATAGCAGATTATTTGAACCCACACGGTTTTTATCCAGTAATTCTGTGTTACAAAAGTACAAAATTAGAGGATCCTCAGTTTGGACTGGGCACTTCCCCTCTTGAAAAACACCGATTTTAAAGTAAAGTCCACAATCTACCTCAAATGATTCTGTATCTTGCCCATCTCATTTCTCAAGCCAAAAAACCCCCAAATAAATAAAATACTATTTTGGAGAAGCAGCAAATGGCCAGCGACCTTCATGGAAGCATTATGGTGGCAGCTGGCGAGTGCTATTTGTTCTTTGTACTAATTTTTTTAAAAATCCTAATTTATTTAATTTTTAAGTGTGATTGTGTTTCAGGGGATTGACAAAAGCAAAAAACGGATGCATTTCCCAGTATTGACCTTAAATTTGATGAATTCATTTTATTTCCAGATAGAGCATCTCTTGACTTCATTCTTAGTGGAGGAAAACTCTTTTCTTCTTCCAAAATAAAATTCCAAGTTAGTGATGAAATTGTTAGAATTCAGTTTTCCCCAGTTTGGTTTTCTTCTGTTGGGTTGAACCAACAACTCTCAAGGATGAGAAGGTTAGAAATAATATGTGCAAATGTTACCAAGTTGTGTAAATTGTTTTAATATTTAGATAATTATTAAAACAATTAACTGTTGATTGTTTTATACCTTCACTTTCAGTGAAATTGGGAAATAGGAACTTGAGCTGAGTCAAGTATCGGCTGCAGCTGTCAACAAGTCCACCTCCTATCAGATTATCAGCCCCAAACATTGGTCTGTCTAAATTGTGAAAGGACAGTTAATGAAAGAATAGCTTGAAAAATTGGATAAGTCAAATTACAGAAAAAAACATAAGGTGGGTCTCTCTATTGATACCAGAGGTAAGTGGTAAGTGGGTTTAAATATAAGTAGGTTTAAATGTTATCTTAATTTTTAGAATTAAAAAGTATAAAACACTGCCCATGAACTTCAGCTACATCTTAACTGGATCTAAAGGACCAACAAGAAGGCTATTTTTCTCAAGTATTCACATCATCTTAATTATAACTAACTGACCTACGTATTCTGTTATAAAATAATGCATCAAATTTTGATGCTATACAAGATAATAATGCAATATTCAGGAAGTAGACCATTTCTATTAATATTTTATAGGAGCTCTTTGTATAAAATCCCATTAATATTCAAAGGAAAACAAGTAGAAAAAAGCCAGCAAAGAAAAAAAGAAAAACAAGAAAGTGTGAGAGTGATGATAGAAAACAACCCAGTGATTTAGATGTTAAACCCTTAAATATAAATACTGTAAAGATATTTTGCTGAGATCTTTCTAGTAGCTTCCATTTTTTTGAAATTGGTGTTTCTAAATGGACTAAGCAACTCCTCAAACTTTCTATTTTCTATTTTCTGGCACTTACTAACTGCTTTTTCACTCTGTGTTAAGAGGTCTTACCTTTTTAATTCCATATTCGAAAGCCTTTTGTGCTAGTCTGCCAGGCCCCTCAACAGTTTTCCCATCATCATTTGGACCCCAGCTGGCACTATAAATATCCACGTGATCAGGATTGAACCCAATTGAACTAGCTTCAATGGCATCTGTGACTATGCCATCCAGCATTCTGATCCCTTTAGGAGAGAGAGGGAAAAACCCCAATCAGTCATTAATTTGTGTTCTGCCAGTACAAAACAGGGCTTTTGACCATGTCAAAATGGAAACATTTTGTCCATTTTTATAAACTGCAAGGACCTGAGAATAGAGGACTGGATTGGATATGGGTGATTCAATATGTATAGTGGATATAAAAAGTCTACACATCCCTGTAAAATGTCAGGTTTTTGAGATGTAAAAAAAAAAAAATCAGACCAAGATAAATTCTTCAGATTTTTTCCACCTTTAATATAACATACAAGCTGTACAATTCAAAGCTGTACAATTGAAAAGCAAATCTTTTAGGGGAAAAATAACCATTAAAAACTAGAAAAATGTGGCTGTGTTCAGAATCAATCATATTCAAACTGATGTTAAATAGTAGCCACTACACACCTGCCATCAATTAAAGTGACCCTGATCAAGCCCATAGAAAGTTCAGCTGTTTTAGTAGTATGGTTTTGACATTTACCCAGTTGCCTCTTACAGCAAAAGCCGTGGTCTGCAAAGAGCCTACAGAGGATCAAAGGGACCTCTTGTTGAAAGGTATCAGTCAGGAGAAGGTACAAAAAATTTGCCAAAGCATTGAATATATCATGGAGCACAGTAAAGTCAGTCAGTGGAGAAAATATGGCACAACAGTAACATTACCAAGAACCAGATGTCCCTCCAAAGTTTATGAAAAAACAACTTTGCCAAGAGGCGTACAACAATGTTAAAGGAGTTGCAAAAATCCATGGCAAGTACTGGTTGTGTACTACATGTGACAACAATCTCCTGTATTCTTCAAATGTCTGAGTTGTGGGGTAGAGTGGCAAGGTGAAAGCCTTTCCTTACAAAAAAAAATATCCAAGCCCAGCTACATTTGCAAAAATGTACATGAAATCTGGCAAAAACATGTGGGAAAATGTGTTGTAGTCTGATGAGATCAAGATTCAACTTTTTGGCCATAATTCCAAAAAGTATGTTTGGCACAAAAACAACACCCTGCATCACCAAAAGTTCGTCAAAGTCACAGTGAAGCACAATGGTTGCAGCATTATGCTTTGTGGTTGCTGGAACAGAGGCTTTAGTCAAGGTGGAGGGAATTATGAACAATTCCAAATATCAGTCAATTTTGTTACAAAACCTTCAGACCTCTGCTAAAATACTGAAGGTGAAGAGAAATTTCACTTTTCAATACAACAGCTCAAAACGCTTCCATATCAAAAGAATGGCTTCACAAGAAAAATATCAAAGTTTTAAAAAGGCTTAGCCAGAGCCCGGACCTGAATTCAATTGAGAATGTGTGGAATGATCTGAAGAGGGCTGTGCACAGGAGATGCCCTTGCAATCTGACAAATTTGGAGCACTTTTGCAAGGAGGAATAGGCAACGTTTCCCAAAGCAAGATATGTCATACTGATAGGCTCCTACCCCAAAAGACTGAATGCTGTCATCAAATCAAAAGGTGCTTCCATAAAGTATTAGTTAAGGGTGTGCATCTTTATGCAATCATGTTATTGTAAGTTTTTTATTTTTATTTTTCTACCTAAAAGATTTCAGATTGTTCTTCAATTGAATTGTGCAGTTTATATGTTATATTAAAGGTAGAAATAATTCTGAAGTGATTTATCTTGGTCTGATCTTTTTACATCTCAAAACCCTGGTATTTTAACAGAGATTGTGTAGACTTTTTATATCCACTGTAGCAGATTCTTTTTGACTCTGGTTTGAGATCCAGTTGTTTCAAAAAAAAAAAAAAAGGTGAAATAGGAAAACAAAATGAGATTTGAAAACAAACTGTTTGATCACTTGTATATCAGCCAAGAGACCAAAAGGATGGTAGCACAGGAAAATTCAGTGTGGCACTCAGCATATTTTTCTACAGTGTCCTATGGTTGGTTTCCATTTTCTGGTCATTCTTACAAAGAGATCAGGTCCCTCCCCTCATCTTCACCCCACAATGCTAAACTGCATCCCTGCTTCTGTTAATCACCAAAAGGTTGGTGTACAACTTTAATATGAAATATGTTAATATGAAAGACCTTATCTTTGCCAAAAGACTGTTTAATGATGGAAGCTTGACTGATGAGAAAATGGCCTTCACTTTAGAGCAGTGTTTCTCAGTCTTGGCAAAGTTAAGCCATGTGGACTTCAACTCCTAGCATGCTAGCTGGGAAATTCTGTGTGTTGGTCCATATATAAGATTTTTAAGATTGAGAAACACTGCTTTAGAGGTTTGATTTTTTGTGATGAGGTATATATCATTTATTTATTTGAAAAACAAAATAAAAACAATACAATGAGGGGATTACTTACAGAATTTTAAAAAATCTATTGTAAATTAACTAATGGATACATACATATAAACATGCGTACATACTCTTGTTGAGTTGATTATTTTGTTGACTTTCCTCTAATTTCTTAAGAAACCTCTTCCTCTCCAAACTAATAGCATATTAGTAAGTCACATTTAAAATTTAGAAAACTGCTTTTTATCAGAGTTAAAGGAAAACTAACTCTATGTCCTGAAAGTTGAATGTGATGGTAGAAGTTTGAATACATAGTTGAGGCCACGACATGCTTGCATCAACATTCATTGACAAAAACAATAATAAATAACTAAATTTCAGCCCACATTTGTAGGCCACATGAATAAGTATATAGTAGCAACCTAATCAGCCACTAATGCTCAGGGATTATGGTACTTAATGAAAGTATTATTTTCAGTGTTCTGTTGAAATTCATTAAACTGCAGCAATGAATAACCCTTTAAATTTTTGTACAATCAGAACGCATAATAGAAACAGAAACCGTACCATCATTTCTTCTGTCCCTGCTATTCAATTTAATATTCCTTTGTTCAATACCTCTCCACTAGCATTTCAAACAGTACTCCAGCAAAGAAACAGACTGCTAAAAAAGAATTATTGTTTATAGTTTTTACCTCCAACTTTGGAATTGTATGCCACTCCAACTCCACATTTTAGGTTGTTTGCTTGCATGGCAATCTCTCCCGCACATCGTGTTCCATGTCTGCAACAAAAACAGCGGTATATGGGTCATCTTCAAATCTTATTATGTAATTATTATTCATTTGAGTATATGAAATTCAGATGGAGCCAAAAGGAACTAATTACATAGCCCTGTTTGCACAACATGATCAACAACATTGTAGGAGAAGATTAGAGGGTTTCATGAATACCACAATGTAGTTTATTTATTAAGTTGATACGCCCATCTCTACTTAATTAACCTTAAACTAGGCACCCATTCCCCCAATCAACCGTGTAATTCTTATTGAAGAATGAATCAGTTTTAAAACAGGCAAAATTCTGGAGCTGCCCCCAGAGATCCGGGTGATCCCGGATCTCCCCTCCTTCCGCCGCGCCCTTAAGACCTGGTTATTTCAGCAGGCAGGACTGGCCTAGGGGTATTTTAAAGGGGTTTTAAATTAAATTTTTAGTAGAAGCGGCCAAATTTAAATAGTTATTTTTAATCTTTTTAAATTTTGTATTGTATTGTACCATTGTTTTA